GTATGAAACTAAAGAGCTACTATACTCTGATGGCAGATAATTGCACACAATATATTAATTTGAGTTTTATTAAAATATATTTAATCATTTTAATGTTTTATTCACCAAATGCAAAATGTGTGCATTAAGTGATGACTTTAGTAACAGTAGTCATTTTTTAAGGATTATTGGTAGTTGTTTTGGGTAAAGCAGAACAATATAGGGCACGTAAACATCTTTGAAATACATTGTTCTCTTAATGGAAGAGAGATGAAATTAGTTTTTGGACACATTTCAAACTGTATGTGTTATGCTGATGCTTCACCTGTGTTGCAGTCCTGGTTTCCTGCGTTTCGTGCGGGTTCTGTGTGGAATGTCTTCTGATGAGAGGAAAGCTTTCCTCCAGTTCACTACAGGCTGCTCAACTCTGCCCCCTGGTGGACTGGCCAACCTCCATCCACGGCTCACAATAGTCCGAAAGGTATTTGAAGCTTTTATTTAACAAAAGATGTATGATGCCAAACACACATTAAGAACAAGTGACATATATATATATATATATATATATATATATATATATATATATATATATATATATATATATATATATATATATATATATATATATCCCTGTGATCAACTGTAATATTAATAATGCAGCAGATTAAAGGGTAAAATTAAGTTGCATTTACTCCTAGAGTAAACATTTGGCACTAACTTTGAGATGGTCTGGCTGCAGACTTGGTGCAGATGTGATCTGAGCTGCATCCAATGCTTTTAAATGGGCTCACCTAATCCCCAACTTAACCCTACCCCACACAGTGACATCACTAGCTCCATTGAGTGCATTGTGTCTGACATCAGCCTCTGGCTTTGCTTGCATCATAAAAGCTGCACTCAGATACTATTGCTAACTTTGAAAACAAGAATTCTGAAATGCCAAAAGTGCTGTATCTTTTTTTTTTTTTTTTTTTAATTTTTTAAGTCCCACATTTGCACCCCTTTTAATTGTATACCTTTTTAAATTACTTTCATAGATCAGATAGATTTGACTATGGCATGGCATTAATAAGTTAATAATTAACATTGCATCATAACGATGTCTCTTGTGGTTGTCTTTTTCTTTTCCAGGTTGATGCAACAGATGCCAGCTATCCTTCAGTCAACACGTGTGTGCACTACTTGAAGCTGCCGGAATATTCTTCAGAAGAGATTATGAGAGAGCGCCTTCTCGCTGCCACTATGGAGAAGGGTTTCCACCTCAATTGAGCATGCTGTACCTTCAACATCCACCAACTCCCATACTGGTGAAGCCTGTTGTGTTTTGTTGCAGAAAAAAAAAAAGCTGTGCTCTGACGAAATCCTATTCTCTTCAAGTACCCTAATAAACAGGAACGACAGTCCCATCGCAGCTCCACTAGCACCTGAAAGCGAATAGGGTTTCCTCCTCCTCCCGCTCCACTGACTGCTTCACAAGGCCTTTCCCAGGTCAATCTACCGCTTTAAGGGCTTGAGCCGCTGGCAGCCAGGGTAGTCTCTCCTCACCTACTGTGTTTACTGTCATTTACTCCAGGTTCAGTGTAAATTTAGGCATAGATCATCTTTTTCAGACCCAGAAATCATCACCATCTGCAGTGTCAGACCCTGGAAAACAAGCACACCTGCTTCTGTAGAGCTTACTATAGAGTGTTTGGGCATTTCCTTAACAGGTTTTAAGTTTTACTAGTGCCTGCATTGCTGAAAAAAACCCAACTAGTTTTCTTTTCATTTGTTTTACATAATCTGTCTGCATACAATCATGCACATGCTTTTCTTTTTTTCCTTTTTTGCTTCCGTTACCGTGTACGTTTTCAAATGTTCATTGCCCTGCTTAAGGATCCCTGAGTGCATTTGTGTAATTTTTCAATAAAGCTATAGATACAGAAACACTGGTTCTGTGTGCAAGGCACATTTAAAAAAAAAAACAAGCAAAAAGCAAGCTGTGCTTTCCCTTGTATTTTCTTTGTATATTATAAACAATTATTTAACTCAAGTTGCAGTTTGAAGTAAACAAATATTTTCAAATGTGTATGCTCCAAAAATAATCATTAAATTGTTTGCAAAGTATTTAATGCCGTCATGTTTGCTTGTTCCCCTTGTGTTTCTGTTCTAGTCTTTGGTCGAATTGACAATATTAGGGACCGAGTAGGTGAAAATTGGCAGGCACTTTTTTCCAGGGGTTTCAGTACAGCGTAACCGTTACTGCGTCATCGGGTGGGCGTGGCCTATCTGTGAATTTGCATAGGTCACGGATTATGCGCAGATTGTGAAAACAGCCGTTTGATTCAGATACCTGTACGTATTGCAGGGGTTTCGTGTCAAATGCCTTTTATATGCAGTACTAAATAGCTGTCCTGATCGCAGGTGTTTCATGTGAAGTGAGTGAATGTTATATTAAACAAATTAACTTAAGATACCTCTCAGATTACATTAATACTGTTATAACTTAAGATACCTGTCCCGATCCCACGGCTTTTGTGCCAAAAACTTTATATATCATATACATTAACATCAGATACCTGTCCTGATCCCAGGTGTTTCATGTATGATCACTTTTATAAACATTAACATCAGATACCTGTCCTGATCCCAGGTGTTTCATGTATGATCACTTTTATAAACAGTAACATCAGATACCTGTCCTGATCCCAGGGGTTTCATGTATGATCACTTTTATATTATATACAGTAACATCAGATACCTGTCCTGATCTCAGGGGTTTCATGTATGATCACTTTTATATTATATACAGTAACATCAAATACCTGTCCTGATCCCAGGTGTTTTATGTATGATCACTTTTATATATATTAACATCAGATACCTGTCCTGATCCCAGGGGTTTTATGTATGATCACTTTTATATATATTAACATCAGATACCTGTCCTGATCCCAGGGGTTTTATGTATGATCACTTTTATATATATTAACATCAGATACCTGTCCTGATCCCAGGGGTTTCATGTATGATCACTTTTATATTATATACAGTAACATCAGATACCTGTCCTGATCCCAGGGGTTTCATGTATGATCACTTTTATATTATATACAGTAACATCAGATACCTGTCCTGATCCCAGGGGTTTCATGTATGATCACTTTTATATATATTAACATCAGATACCTGTCCTGATCCCAGGTGTTTCATGTATGATCACTTTTATATATATTAACATCAGATACCTGTCCTGATCCCAGGGGTTTCATGTATGATCACTTTTATATATATTAACATCAAATACCTGTCCTGATCCCAGGTGTTTCATGTATGATCACTTTTATATTATATACAGTAACATCAAATACCTGTCCTGATCTCAGGTGTTTCATGTATGATCACTTTTATATTATATACATTAACATCAGATACCTGTCCTGATCCCAGGGGTTTTATGTATGATCACTTTTATATTAGTTAACATCAGATACCTGTCCTGATCCCAGGTGTTTTGTGTATGATGACTTTAAATAAAAATAGAAAATAAATATGAGTTATGTTAATTAACTAAGATCGAGAAAGAAAAATTAACCACGATTTATTACAGAAAATGTGGTATTTATTTGTTTAAACATGACTGAATACCATATTTTAAACTACAAAAACACGGTTAATCTTACCACAACCATTATTATTTGGTTTAAAATGGAAGTAAAAAAGCCCAGAGACAGTAAAACGGAGTAAAACGAGGTCAGCCGTTTTTGCTAATGAAATCTTTAAAATATAACATTATAAAACCAAAAAAATAACCTGTATGATTGTTTTTTCCCTCGTTATCCACCGCGGTAGGTTCTTTATCCATTATCATCCTGTTTGAAATGACCGCGCTAAAAAAGAACCTGTACTGCGCATGATCGGTGACCTCTCAGTATTGTTTTTTTTTTTAAGGGGGCGTTTCCCAAACACCGACCGAGCCACGCCCATTTTACGTCGTGGTAATGAAACCCCTGGAATTTAGTGCATGCCGGTGAAAATTCACGTTTGTTATAGGTTTTGGGAGTGGGTGTGGCAAAATGGCTTGACAGCGCCACCTATGTACTTTTGACAGACTGGCCTCTGTGCTAACATTGATGCACATGTATGAAAATTGGCACACACATCAAACATGCCAAAACCTATTAAAAAATGTCTCTTGGAGCGAAATCTCAAACCCAACAGAAAGTTGGATATTTTTAACTTCCTGTGCAGTTTTTGCCATTTCAAGGCATTGTATTTAAACGAACTCCTCCTAGGGATTTTATCAGATCAACATCAAAATTGGGTTTTGTCATCTGAAGGCCTTGGCAATGTTAAATTGCGAAGATCTAGAGTATTCGTCTAAGGGTGTGTCCGTGTCGGCCTCACAAACTTTAATGGCTCGCCACAAAACAAGAAGTTGTTATAACTCAGGCACGCATTGTCTGATCTGCTTCAAAATCCACACGTTTGATAGGAGTCTTGACTTGAACTCTTTTACATCCCAATATTCAGTTACAGTTCTAGCGCCACCTGCTGGCAACAGGAAATTACATGCTTTACAGTAACAAACTCCTACAAATTTGATCAGATTAAATCCAAGTTTTGTCAGTATAACCCAAAGGCCTTTGTGATGTGAAATTGTGTAGATCTAGAGTTTTCGCCAAAGGACGTGTCTGCGGTGGACTGACAAAGAGTATCGCCTTCGAGGAGGAAGTACTTATAACTCAATTAAACAATGTTTAATCTGCCTGGAAAATCATGTTTGATGGTATTCCTCTCCTGAAGACATCTCCATGCCAACATTGAGTTACAGTTATAGCGCCACCTGCTGATAGAAGGTTTAACATAAATCTGTGATTTTCTCAGGTTATAATTTTTTTTTCTATCTTAAATGTATATAATTCTCTGTCATCCTTAGGCCACCGGGCAGGGGTGAGCCCGGGTGCGAGGTCCCTTTTATTGCTGCCTGCAGCTTTAATTATTATTATTATAAAACCAATTTGTGAAAAAACAGGATGAGGTTTAGAATGGTGACACAAAGAAAAACACATTTATTTGTAGCAAAGCAATGATGACTGGTCATTAACATCAGATCAGCTTTCAGTCATCTTGTCCAGGGCCAGTAGTGGTGCCAGTATTCTGTTCTTATTGGTCTCCACGATGTGTCCGTTCAGGATCATTTCATCAAGAATAATGTGTACTTTGTCTAAATTAAACATGATCTGATTTTTCATTAAGGAATAAAACACGTCTAACATGTAAAACTAAAGACTTAATTGACATATTTTTAGTCGTTTGACTTATAAAGGATACATCCAGCTCACTCTGTCAAAAGAAGAAAGTGAACAGTTTATTATACTGTTCTCAGGAAAGATGTCACATTTACTATTATTAAAATGACACTTACCACACGACTGAAATATTTGTCTAGCACCTCCACAAAGTTGTGCACAAGTTCATAGATAGAGAGTTCATTCTGTGTGAAAGAGCCAAAGACAGTCAATCACGTTAATTCATGAATACTGATTACAAATGAGCATGTCATTTCGCCAATAATATGAACAACAAACCTCATTTTCAGTGACGCCAACAACAATGAAAAGAGCTGCATATTGGCGATAGACCAGTTTATAGTCCTTATACTCTACAAATGAGCACTGAAGAAGAAATACAAGAGCCAGTTAAAGATGTTCAACGGCTAATTTTATTCCGAAGAATTAAGGACTGCTTCACAAAAGTAAATTAAACTCAAAATCACAGAAATTCTACATGTATGTAAATAATCTGTGTTGAGATTACGGAATGTTCACTATGTTTGATTGTTTCTGTTGTTTACATTAAACTTCCCCCTGAGGACTCCGGGATTTTATTCATAATATCTTGCACCGCAAACAATGGCTGCTGATACAAAGTTGTGTGGTTAACCATTAGTTGGGAAACATGACTGACCTCTTCCTTCCTCCGGGCCAGACATCCACGCACCACGTCAGCCTCCAGAGCTGCTCTCTTCCCAAGATCCACTGCTTCATAATACTTAGAGAGGCGAGTCTGCCCCTGTTTGTTCACCATCAGCAGGAACTTGATCATAGTGACTCAGAGGTGTGATACAGCACTGGGAAAGAAGAGAAATGAACATAATTTCTTTTAAATAAATTTTATTTGATTCTTTAGTCACCAATAGCTTTCACCAGAAGTAATGTGACTAGTGTAATTTAAAGAATTATCATAATGCTGTCAAGAAAGCCGCCGTTTTAATTTTCATGTTTTTCATTTGAATAATTTTTTGATAAGTTATTGATATATTTAGAAGCAAAAATTGTATATCTTAAAAATTGAAAAATTATTTTAAATTGTGAAATATTAATTTATAACACACTAGTGCCACAATTTATATGTAAAGGGGTAAATTAAAAGTTACATCAGTTAATTTATGATACTGTAGTGACAACTACTGTAAGTGTGTTTACATAATTACTACTGTAAGACCATTATGCTAATAAATAATGGATTGCTTGGCAAAATTGGTTACGAGATTCCAACATCCTTGGGAGGTGACCTGACACATGCTGAAAAACATTTCATTTCGTTTTTGTCTTAAGTGTACTTAACATTTATAAGTTGCTGTAATTAATTTTGTGGAAAAAAGTAAACATTTTGGTAAACATTAAACCTTTGGAAAACATTTATGGCTTTCTTTATCTAATACAAAATGCAATAAGAAAATAAAAGCCCTGTTTCAAGAAGATTCTGTTACTGTGCCTTATGTAATGTCATATTGCAATGGTTTTGAAAATGATATTTCATGGAAGAGAGTTTGGTCATAACCCCACTTTTTAACAAACAAGATGAGAGAAGTTTCTGCTTTCCAGACAAGTGTAATCTTAAAAGACTTCAAAACCAACTGTTCATTTTGCTTAGTGAATCCTGAAATTTCTGTTCATTTATTTTGGAATTGCCCTCATTCACTGACATTTTGGTGTGATGTTCTTGATTTCATAAAAGACGTGAAGGAACATTTTAAATTTACATATGAAAATGTTGTCTTTGGTTTCCATGAATGTAAAAAGGAAAATATTAATTATTTCATAAACCTTTTTTTTTTGGCCAAATTTCAAGCTTTGAAAGTGTAAACTTTTTTTTTTTTTGTAAATTTAAAAATGAAATGAAAATGAATTTTGAGTCTATTGAGGGATCAACAAACTTAAAAGCAATACGAACAAGGACTTGACATCTTGGACTAAATGACTGAAAACTCCTGGATTGTTGTTTGATTGATGACATTTGTTGTTAATGTTTTTCAATCATTAATAAATATATATATACATAACATATATATATATATATATATATATATATATATATATATATATATATATATATATATATATATACATTAACTGCTATAATTTAAAAAAAAAATATTGCAATTAAAATTTGCTGTAATTGTATTTTACATTTAAACTTAAACCAATAGCACCTTTAAATTATAACAATAAACAACATTCTCGACGGATGCTATTGATTATTTCAAGCACTTCTCCCTTCACAAACCGTACTATACGTCTATAGATATTGTCAACGACACATTTTTATCGCCTCATCAAGTAAAAAAAAATCATAGATACAAAGCGCATGCGCAGAGTCTGTACGTCGTCAGTCTAGATTCGGATGACTCGAGAGCGCGCAGGGCTGGGTGAACGCGTCCCATCATGCAGCGCGCGCGCCAGTCCTCCCTCACTCGCTCGCTCACCCCCGCAGTAGGAGACTCACATCCAGGGATCGGACTAATGGCGGCCGGCAAATCCGTGCGCTGACACGAAAACCACAACAGCCGCTCAGGTGCCAGCCTATTCGGTTGGGGGCAGGGCGACGTCGCATCGCTAAGCGAACGGTAAAAAAGGGAGGGTAGAGGGGTAACAATCGGCGACTTCTAGCAGGACTTTCCTATTTTTAAACATGGATGAACAGCCCGGAGGAGGAGGAGGTGGTGGTGGTGGAGGAGGAGGAGGAGGAATGGCCGCCCAGAGGCAGCAGCAGCAGCCCGCACCGCAGCAGGGCAACAACAGCATTAATCCTCAGATGAACAGCGCTGGAGGAGCGCCTATGGTTCAGCAACAGCAAGACGAGATGCCCAGGCCCCAGCAGTACACCATCCCGGGGATTTTACACTACATCCAGCACGAATGGGCCCGTTTCGAGATGGAAAGGGCGCATTGGGAAGTGGAGAGGGCCGAGCTCCAGGTAACGTTGTAGACTTTTGGATTTTGCTGACACACTGATTGGAAACCCCAAATCGGGGCATCGACCGACAACTCGTCGGTTGCTTTAATTAAAAGCTTGAGGCTGAATTGCTAAGCATTTTACCATACATCTCGCAAGCTTCCTGTCCACCCTGTTTACACAAAATTTCAACACTAGCAGTTGTGTCAATAAACAAACCTTTCTTCATTTGAAACATGCGAGACATATGTATTTAGCATGCCTATATTGTAAAACAGCAATCTAGTAAGTCGAGTCGCTCACTCGTTCCTAGTGTGGATGTGCTAAGCTAAGCTAACATGACATCGCTGTATTGGCGATAATACGCGACACCCGCTACGATGGATTCAGATTATCTTACCCACGATCACAGAAGCAGATCTAATAGTTGTTTGTTGCGGATTTATTGTGTCACGGGACGCATCTGTCAATGAAAGCCAGCAGACTTTGTCAACTATTCTCTTGTTCTGCCATTTTGTTTTGGTCAATATGGCGTCCGTATGGGTCGCTTTTTTTATTGATCCATCTACTGGGGCTCACTTTCACACCCTGCTTCAATTTTAGTATGTTTTACACACTGCATCTTTTATAAGATTCAAAAGAACATTAAGGGCTTTCTGATCAGCAAAAACTAGTTATCATAAAAATGCTGGATGACAGCGACGGTCACTATTTACGTTCGTTAATGGGACATAACGTTGCATTTAAAGGGAATAGAGTTTAAGGCGAGTTGCGAACACTCTGACTGATATCTGTACTTGTGTTACACATATGACAAACAAACTGTGTTAAACCGGTTTGGAACAACACGAGGGTGTGTAAATGATGACACTGTTCATTTTAGGTTCACTCTCCTTTAAGATCGCTATGAGCAGATAGACTTACTAGTTTAGCTCCTGGTCAGATCAGTATTTTGGATGAATCATTGGCATTTGGATAAGTCTCTTGTCACTATCTTTTTTGTCATTATTTACTCACCCCTATGTTAATCTCCACCTGTATGACAGACTTTGTATAACACAAAAACACAACACGTTTGACAGAATAACAAACCTTTTAACAGTTGACCTGCATTTGTATTTAGAAAATACCTTTATCAGTTAAATAGTTTGTTTCATGGAGGTGCAGCACACAACATTTAGACAATATTGTTGTTTTTGGCAGTCAAATAATTAACAGGTAACATTCAGTAACGTTTACTTGAGTAAATTATAACCATGGTTTTATTGTTGAAAAAGTGTCATCACCACGTTTTTGTTGCATTGATTACATTTGCATAACTAAAGTTTTACTTCAAAGACTATGGTTAAACTATGGCTTAACCAGTTTCCATGGTTTTCAGTTTTGTTAGTAAAAAAAAAAGAAGTGTCCGCTTGTTCTTAAAGTATTTTATTTAAAGTTCTGTCATCCTTTGTTCATCTCCTTTTTTTAAACATATTAAGAGTTTCTTTATGTGGAGGCGCAAGCTATTTTGATAAATGTTTTTGTTTTTTTTGCCTATGAAGAATAATGGAAACCGAATGAGTGATGACTGATTTACCAACAAACATTGTCTGTCCTTTTTTCCCCCCATGACTTTTGTATTTTTTGCTCGCCTCTCACTTTGACAGATTTATTTTTGGGTGAAAGAGTGTGTTATGACAGCCAAATCTCCATTCTCCCCGTATTAATGGGTGTAGCTGTCATATTTTCAGCCTACTAGAGATGTGGATGGCAGTGTAGCTTTTGTGAATGAGGAAAGGAGCTGGCAGGACTTGGCATTATGTAAACACAGTCAGTCTTCATTTCAGAGGCTGAGGAGTCTCTTCACTACCCCTGTACAGACTTGTTTTGTGACATACTTTCAGAATGACTCCCACCTCAAAACTAATGTGCACTTTTCATTAGAGGAAGTCAGCCCTCCCACACTCATACCGATGCAGGTCCTAAAAAGAGGGTTGGTCTTGTTTATTTGCTTTGCATTCCATATTTCCGAGGTTCACTTGCCATCTAACCATTAGACGCATACCGTACATACCACAAACGAAATGCTGCAAGTTGAACCAAATCAAATCATGCTGCCAAATATGAGCGCTTTGATTCTCCAGCTTTGCATGCAGATGCTTAAGTCCATTATCAGGTGCTGCTTTTCAGTGCTGGAGACGTTGCTAATGTTATAATGGATAGTGGTTCTGTGCTACTCTGATAGTGTCTGGATCTAATTGATGTGAAACTCTTCCTGTCAGCTTGCTTGGCTAGTAGGCATAGCTCTTAGCAGAGATGTCCTGAGCAGTCACATCAGGAACGGGCCTGATTGCTGTTATCTGGGTTAGCTCAGGGTTTGTAGGTCATGCTAGCACCATCTTCATAGTCATAATGGCTCATTGCACATCTCTAACCAATCCTACATTTGAAACTTTTTTGAATGTCTGTAAATCCTCTTCTCTTTCAAATGGTGAGATACCCAATTTACAGGTCATACTACTGAATTCTACGTATGAATGACTTCCTAGGTCATCTGTGAAAGTATATAGATAGAAGTATTATTTGAGGGACTTTTATGTTGGAAAATCAAAACGATGCTACGTTTTCATACAGTCTCAAGAGTCCCAAACGTCATTGTTCTCTTCATGATAATGCCGAAAAGAGCTGTTTTCTACTGTAAGGTTCAATTTGTTAGGCAATGAAAATAACGTATGTATATCTGTTGTCATGATGCACTAAATTCCACAACTTGTGCAGGCCGCTAGTCTTGGGACGATAACCGTTTTCAAGGTATACAGAGGTTTGGAAAAGTGAAGGTTGTAAAACCCCCAACATTTCCTGTTATACCATTCCTAAAGTATGTGTAAGATTTTTTTATTTATTTTTTTTTTTTGGTATCCAAAGATGGCGTATTAAATTGTAAAGAAATCTGTGTTTAAAAAACAAATGAAGACTGCAAATACCAGTGATTCATTTGAATCATTTAGCCTTACATGTTTATTGCTTTGAAATATTTTAAATGTTTTCTAAAATAAAGTAGATTGTGTTAAGAAGGGATAAACATTTTTTTTTTACCCAGACATTTAAAAATATTTTATTTTAGAGCCGTAATCACAATATCGTGAAGCCGTGATATTTTTATCCAAGGTTATCGTACCATCAGTCTTATACCGTCCTATACTCACAGGCTGCCAATTTGAAAAGTATTTTAAAATGTTGTAAATTTGTCAACAAATAAGGGAAGAAGACACCCAGAGGTGATATGAACGTGGAGCTGCTTATTGCACTGGTGAACAATAATCATTACTTCATCGCTAGAGCTGGAGCTGCTGCTTGAACCATCCATGCGTGTTCAAATCGCCAGTAACTTTAACAACAAGCGTGTCAACTTTCTGTTTTCTTCTGTGTTACAAGCGTGTGTCAGAAGCTTAAAGATTTTTTGCTCCATCTAACGTCAAGGAGTGATTTTGCATACGCTTGTGCTCCACGCCAGTGAAAATTGCTTGGGTTTGAATCCGGAAAAACGTCTAAAATGATGACTATAAACACAAAAGAAAAGCGTTCTGGTGTGTACCAGCCTTAACGCATGTGATTAAGCAAAACATTTTAAGATATACATTCTTTTTTAATGCAAATGAATTGTTTAATAAGGTTTGACCTGAACTTTTTTGGCCGTCATCACAGCCATATCATTGTGTGATAAGAGTACAGTGAACGCCAGTAATTTGATGGCTCAGGACACAACACGTAGTGTGCTGAATGGCAAGTTTTGTAATAAAAAGCTTCCGGTTGGAAGCTTGGATAAAACCAAAGTTGTGTGCACTTACTGTACTGATGAACTGTCCTTCCACGGAGGGTGCTTTCATACTTGGGTCGATTGCCTAGTCCGAACCCAAGTTTGATTGTCCCCCCCCTTGCCACCTTCTCGGCTGGTTTTTGTTCACATTGTCGTTTTTCCTTCTGAACCCAGGCAACAAAAGCTAAGGCGCCAAAATGGAAAGATGTACACACATTGCGATCGTTCTGCTTTAACTCAATCTTTTGGGTTTGGTAACATACAGAGAGTGACTTGTGTCTATCTGACGCAAACATATTAAATAAGTTCAAAACATAATGCAATGTCAACAGAAGTCGTTTTTGGTGGAGACAAGCAGATGTTTTCACTGTGTTTGTCCTGGCTCAGTCCTGCTTTTCACCAAGGTACAGTAGGGGATACACAGACATACACATGAATGAACGTTATGAAAACTAAAGTTTGTTGTACAGTTGAACTGTACCAGAGTTCGCACTAACCGTACCCCGGACCACTTCTTTTAGGCGGACTCGGGAATGATTCAGTGACAGTTGCGCACCCGAATTCAGAAGAAATTGTTTACACTTGCTAAATGTACATAATTCTGACGTGAAATAAACCCGAGTGTTGACCAGAAGGGCTAATGTGAAAGCACCCTGAAACAACATATCATCTTCAGGCCAAATATATTTTTGCAGATATTAGTAAAGATCTCATTGCTGAGACACAGTAGATGAGTACAGCAGCACAGGTTCATTAACATTAACTAGACTAATATTCACAGACTGCAGACCAATCAACAATGTTTAGGAACATACCAGTTATCTTCTAGGATAGGGATGCCCAAACTAGGGCCAGTGGGCCAAAGTTGGCCCACAGTAACCCTTGATTTGGCCTACCATCCCATCTGAGAAGAGAGGAAGACTGATGTTTGTTTGTTTTATTGTTAACAGCTAACTGAAATGAAATGTTTCAATTAAATGGTGTAAATTTAGTTTAAATGTGCGTACCGTCACCCGATGCATCAAGGACAAATCAAGGCAAAGGCAGACTCTGCTTGACTAGTTGATTTATCATTGAACTCTACTGTAATAAAAAATGTGATTTGTTTTTATTGCAATAAATTATAATTTTAAATGTTATACAGCATTAGTTAATATGATTTAAATTAATGCTTTCTATTTACTTTTAAGTCTTATGAAATGAATCAGGAAATTACCTATGGCAACTCTATTGCATTATACAGTAGTTTGGTATATTTACCTTCAGCCCATGGCTCTCAATAATATTTGGCTTTTGGCCTTTTAAATACGAAAAAGATTGGGAACCCCTGGTCTAGGGGGACTAGTGTGATTAAAAATACATGAACTGGAATAAAATTCAAAAAAGCAAAACAATGTGAAAGTTGTCCAGATCACTAGACATCAGTACATAAGCAAAACTACCTTGCTGTAACAGCAAACCTTCTCGATCTGTACTCATTCACTTTAATCAAGTTAAAAATAATACATAAACAGTAAGATAATAACACTAGTAGATCTGTTTCCTTAAACTAGATTGTCATGCATTTCTTTATTTCACCACAGCACATTTACAGTAAAACTCTATATTGTGACTGATTACTCTCTATTATTGAAAGAGCATGCTTGAGATTAATGCTCTAAAATGTTTTGATCAGTTGACAGCCCCATTTTAAATTTCTTTTCTTTTTTTATAAAGTTCTCCTAAGTGTTAGGGTTTGTCATTAGGATTGGTTTCGATTCAGTTCTTCAA